AGAGCCTTCATACAACAAAAGGTTGATATCAGAAATGGTCCATATTAAAAAACAGAAGCATGGGATTAATAGACAAAATGACACGGAGTCTTTGCCGGATTTGTATTCTGACATTATACATTCTCTTTCTCCTTTCTAACATCTTCTATCCTTTTCCTCCTATTTTTCCGGTTTCCGTTCTCGATAATGTTTTTTCTGTTTGACATTTCGTTTTGTGACATCGTTTAAGTCAGATGCTCGTTACCTTTGCGAATTTGCTTATAATAACCTATTAAATTAAAAAGACTTTTTTATTGTACCACGAAATGGACTACATTTTACATTTTTTTCTCGTTGTATATTATGGGACTCTTAACAGATTTACTAAGGTATATCATCATATTTTTAATTTTTATGTGATTAATATTAATTCTTTTTGTTTACGGTTACTTTTTCAGAACTTTCTTATGACTTTGTTAATTCTTAATAAAAATGACTCACAGCGTATTACACAGAAAGAAGAAAGAAATTTTTGTTAAGGAATTGTAAGAATATTGTAAGATTATGTACGAATTTTTAATTTAAAAAGACATTTATATTACTGTATGCTGGCATTGAAAATGACTCAATTAGAGTTGAAACGTTTGTTTTATTTTATTGTATTTTAATTGTTTTTGTATTAAGTTTGCTTATCTAAATTATAATTTTTTTATATACATCATTGGCTCTTTGCCCTTCTTTTATACTACCTTTTGATTATTTGATATTATTTGCGTAGAAGAAAATAATTTCCGCAGAGCGGCGGCGAGTGGTGCGAAGACGGGCGGCCGGGCGCTGGCCGCTGAGTCCGCTTCGTCGTCATCATACAGTAAAGCCTGTTCTACAATGTGCTTTTTGTTTCCTATTTCTTGCTTTTTGTTATTTTTTACAGCTTGTCTTTTTGCTTCTTATCCGGTTTTTTGTTTTATATCACCCGAGATAAAAATTAATGAACTTCGAAAGAAACAAGAAATACGTAGCAAGAAATACAATTGCAATCAAAACGGTTGCAAAGGAAAAAAAAGCAAAAGTAAAAAACAAGAAACAGGAAACAAAGAGCACATTGTAGAACAGACTTTACTGTATGATGACTGTAGAATAGGCTTAAGTGCGCGAGAGACTAAAAGAAATTTAAGAAAATAATATAATCAACTTTTATTTGTTAATTCGGTAAAATAATGATTATAATAAAATTGTTATTAATATGATTGATGATATTTCGATAATAATAATGCTAAGAATGTAAATAATATAAAATAAAGAAAACAAATAATTGCGGTCATAATACGACCACAAGTTAATGAACCGAAAATAAAGAAAGAAATGTGTTATTGATGTTACTTTAAAGATGTAAATAATTAAATTCAAAATCAGCGAATAATGTAAATTATTTATTGACCATGCACTGAAAGAAAAGATTGGTTGCTACAACAATTTAGATAGTAAAATATAGCACAGCATTTTTAATTGACTGCAGCAATCAGTTTTTGATTGTAACAACAAATTTTTAGTTGCATTAGCCTATCGAAATCATATACTGACATTGCGAGTAGAGTAATGCAACTTGCTGCTGCAACCGATTTGAAACTGATTTCTGCAGCCAATTAAAAATGCTATGCCATATTTTACTACCTAAATTGCAGCAACCAATCTTTTCTTTCAGTGTTGTTTTATTATATATTACATTTTATATTAACACTGAGAGAAAAATATATTATATTTGTGACTATAATTGCATGGTGAAATAATTATGGTCAGGAACATCATTTTTATAATTATTATTGCTAATGTCAATAACAATAACCGTATATGTATAGTTACAATGTTTTATAGTATAAAACTATATGCAAATGTGATTTATGGGTAAGCTGATTACCATACAATTAGTTGAATGAATACATATTATGGTCATTATGATCACAATTCAGTGTTCAGGTTATATTTCATATGGCTATAATTCATATGGTGCAAACAATTATAAATTTATGCTTGTCGCAAAAAATGATCATAAATTATAGTTAAATGGTTATTTCAACTATTTCTTTCTCTTATAGAAAGTGCCTGTGGAAGCCTTAAGAGTTTTAAGTATTCTTATTTTGAGAATTAATTTTACGTCGATTACTAAAGAAATATTTTATAAAAGATATATATCACGTTCCGTATGTAATGTTTCGGAGTGCAAGTAATCGTACATTACTTTAATAAGATTAGACACGAGAATAATCATTTTAATATACAAACTTTTGAAAATCTTATCTACATTTTTTAATGTGCGTTTTTCAATATAAAATTCACGAAATTAGCGAAGATAAATACGAAGCTGCATTTTCTTGATCTTTTTTTCTTTTTGTTTTATTACGAGCGGTTGCTGTAAATCGAGCTTGATATTAAATGATGAATAGCGGAAATAAAACATAATTTTATTATGTTTTATAATAACTCTGCGACACATTGCAAAAGATGCAAAAGGTATCGTTGCGAAGTATTCCTGCGGAAAAATGTTATACGTTTCGGCATTTCCCGTGGCAGAATTAATGTTAATTCTATTAAATGTTCAATTCGCATGGGATTTTAACATGATATTACAGTATATCTTCGAGGCGTTCTTACCGTCGCTACTACATCGGGAGTCGACCTTTCTCCTTTTCAACTTGAGATCTTGAAACAAGCTCATGTTTTCTATCTCACACGGGCTGCTCGGAAGGGTCATAATTCCTGAAAGCAGAAAATGACAAGAATCAGCCTGTTATTCGTTAAGTAAATTATTCACAACAGGGAACGATTTATTTTTAAATATTTTTGTCTTCGCAGAAATGTTTAAAACACTACTAAATTGAAATAAAATCATTTTTCCGTACTTGAGTCAATTCTTGTATCATACAATAATGGCTTTTATATTTATTTCAAAGTGAAATTTCAAAATGAGCTTAATCTTTACGATTTAACTTTTATAAATTCTGCAGATAAATGATTTTATCATTTTCATATAATTAAACAACTCTCTTCTGTGCAAAATATATTAAAACTAAAATTATTTAACAATAAACAATTTATTAAAACTATATATATATATGTAAATACACAATTATAAGAATTTAAAATCTATAATGATCGAAGCTGGATCTTAGCTTAAATAATTTCTATGTGAATTTATCAGAGTTGAGTAAATTAATGTTTTTTTTTGAACTAAATTAAGTTAAAGTTAATGACTTATAAAATTAATAAAATTAAGTTAAAAATTAAAGAAACAAAAAATTAACTTAATAAAATTTAAGATTAAATTAATTTAAATTAAAAAAAGTTAATTTTAAAAATAATTATTTTTGAGATCAGAATGATCTAATTTTTCTTAAAATGAAATTACTTTAAATAACGATTACAATATAGATTTACGATTACAATATAGATCAGGTAATTTAATTTTTTTATTCACATATAAATATTATCCAAAAAATGTTTGTAAATCTTTAGAAAATGGGTAGATTGTGCAGTATAATTTTACAATTCTTTACCTAAGGCTCATATTTATGTTGCTAAAATATAATATTTATCACACCTAAAATTAATGTGATTCAAATATAAGCGGGAATTGACAAAACTTAGCGAGCCAATCAAAACTACCGTATGACATGACGCTTATTATAGAATCTCTAATCATAAAATCATAATTTTTTTCTAAATTAATTCTCTAATGTTTAAGATCTTATAGAAAAAAATATTGGCATTAAGAGATAAAAAAATTTTAATAATTTAAAAAAGTTAATAAATTAAAGTCAGAAAATAATTAAATTCAGTTAAAATCAATGCATTTAAAATTGACTAACTTAAATTAAGTTATTAATTTTTTAACTTTTTTTAACTTTTAACCTTCTCTTTTTATCAATTTTTAATTTCACAATGTCTCATAACACCGAAGAGACAATACATTGTTTTTACTCTTATCGCATTGTCTCTAATTCTAATCAACTTTCTGCGACATTTATTTTTTTCATTTTTTACTGAACTTCGTTTTTACATTAAAGGTATTTATTCCTATTAATTTTAGCTGTTACTAAATTATAATTTTATATAATATATAGATATACATTATACAAAATTAACTTTTATTAATACATTGTATCATCATATTGTATTATATTATCTCTTTTGATATTCTTATTAATTTCTTTGTTTTTAATTACATCAATAATTTTTCACTGACTGTATCATATCGTTTCTTTTGCTATTTTTATAAATTTCTTTGTTTTTAATTGTGCCAATAATTTTTCACTGACATAATCTTGTCCATTACATCTACAGGACAAAATTCAATTGCGTTCATTGTCCAATTTTACATTATATTAAAGAACATATTTCAAACTATTTAATGATCGACAACATTATATAGTATCATGCGACGACTATCTCCAAGCTATAATAATTATATAACAAGATTTTAATGTTACCATCATTGTTAGAGAGCGAAGTATAAATTTATATTATGTTCTGTTTTTACCGTTTATAACATTCTATATGTTTTTAACATTGATAATCCGATCGCGATCGAAACGTCTGTTTGTTCATTGCTAGCATATTGTATTAAATCTTAATTAAATAATTGTTTTTCTTTACTTATGTTCCAATACTTATGTTACTTATATTCTACATTAATTATAATTGAATAATTTTTTGACTCGTAGTCCCTTTTTCTTCCTCATTTTTTAACTTTTATTAAAATTATTATCTAATCTATTTCTCTTTTTATATAGAATAATTCCTACTGTAGAGAATACTCGCTCTGAGGGAACTAAAATTGCAAAAATACATAAAAACTTTTTAATCAATTTTGTCAGAAACAGATATTTTGCGTTAATTTTTGAATATTCCAAAGGATTCATGTTTCTCTTAAGATATACATCTGAGATACAAATCTATTTCATTTATGATATTTAAAGGTTCCTCATTAGACAATCTTTTAGTACATACATCATTATCAAAAGAAGCCCAAAATAATAATTCATGATTTAAATCATTGAAAGCATTTTCAATTATATTTGTCTCTGATGCATTTTTATTACTATTTCTATCTACTACACTTTTAATCAAACGTAGTAGATACTTCATGCTTCAACAACATTTTTGCTTTTTCGGCATTTTCCATCTACACAAATCCCAGTATTTTAAATCGAGGATCGAGAATTGTTGCCATCGTATAAATTGTGTCGATAGAATGAAAATATTTATACATCATATTTCTTAGTTTATTGTCGAATTAGTATCGTTATTTGAGATAAGAAATATATTGTATTCAATTGTTTCATAGAAACGATAACTTTGGAGATTATGATGTAAAATTCAGCACTTAAATCAGTAGTTAATAAAAAAAAAATATATTCTTATCTTCAATATTGATAAACATTCAGCAAACATTTCCCATTCGGATATTACCAAAAAATCAAAAAGAGTAAAATACGATAATGCTGCTATTACCGTTTGTTTTTATTTATGTTGTCAACATTGCGCTTAGGACTTGAAATTTTGTAAATATACACTTTTGTAAATATATATGAATTAGAATCAGCGATATCAAAAACACTCAAAATACACTATTTTTGAGAAAATAAACATTTTTTATACTTGATCGTATGTTCCCTGCCGGAAAAGTCACTTTTGTGACTTTCACACAAATTTCGGATGTGTGTGTATGTGTGTGTGTGTGTGTGTGTTGATACACTTACAATATATTTAAATTTATCTACAATGCGCAGTATAAGGCAAAGGCATAACTAAAAAAAAGTTATTTTAAATTGAAAAAATTGTTTTCCTTCTGATAATTTTTTTAAGTTAAAAAAAATTTGTTTGAAGAAATTTGAACTTGCTATAACTTGTTAAAGAAAAGTTTCTTTGATTTGAACATCATTTCTTGTGAAATCGAGTAAATTTTTATTTTTTTTTAAGGTATTTTCATTTTAACTTAACAAAATTATCAGAAGAAAAATAATTTCTTCAATTTAAAATAACTTTTTTTTAGGTGCGCCTGTAGTGCATTGTAGATAAATTTAAATATATTGTGTATGTATGTGTGTGTGTCTGCGCGCGCGCGTGCGCGTGTGTGTGCGTGCGTGCGTGCGTGCGTGTGCGCGTGTGTGTGCGCGTGTGTGTGTGTGCGCGTGTGTGTGTGCGCGTGTGTGTGTGCGCGTGTGTGTGCGCGCGTGTGTGTGTGCGCGTGTGTGTGTGTGTGCGTGTGTGTGCGTGCGTGCGTGCGTGCGTGTGTGTATGTGTGTTTGTGTGTGTGTATGTGTGATTATTCCTTAATATGCAATGTATGGGTGCGTGCGTGTTTGTATTAAGGAAACATCTATGTCACGTGACAGCTCTACAAGTTGAAAAAATGTAAGTTTTTAATTTTTTTTCGATTTTAGTACAAAATATATTGCATCACGGCCAAATTTTGCGTCCCTTTTAATCCTGTAAAAGAATTTTTGATTCCGTTCAGTAAATTCGGAGATTTATATCGATCTACAAAATTCCGACAATTTGGCTGCTCCAGCATCCCCTTAAGACTTTCAAGATCTATCAAGACTTTCAAAAATGTATCTTCGAATAATATTCGAAATATTTCCAAGCAGAGCAATAACTAAATTGATTTAAAATTCGCAAGATATATGATTGAATATCCATCACTAATTACTACCCTGGAATTTATATACCACATATAGTCAGTTTTAAAACACGAGCCGAATATTTTTTCGGACTTACAATTAGAAGCAACTGAACTATTATAATAATATTACAAATTAAATTGACAAGGAATTTAATGATTTTATGTTCAATCAGCCATCCTATTAGAGAGATATTAATGTGCTGAAAATCTGTAAATAAATTTATTGCGAAAAATATTACCTCGTTTAAAAATAAGATCACAGACATCTTAGTAATATTTTTCGCAATAATCGATATGGAATCGATAGGAATATAACGCATTTTTAGGCATTGTGTATAAACAATAATAAACGATTTATTATGACCAATCGATTTCCAACACATTAACATTTCTCTAATAGGCCTGATTGAGCATCAAATTATTAAATTGCTTGTCAATTTAATTTGTGATATTACTACAGTAATTCAGTTGCGTTTCTAAGTTCAGAAAAATTTTCAGCGCGTCAATTTTCAAATGACATAAATTCACATGGAAATTATTTAAGCATCTAAGATCCAACTTCGATCATTATAGATTTTTAATTATTTATCATGGGTAAACTATCAATACGAAAAAATTCTATATTTAAAAATACAAGTATTTATATTTTAAATTTTGAGGTTTTTGTAATTAGCGTGTCGCGACATCATAATGTAATCATAATGTCGCAAAAGATTTTCAAGTATCACAAAAATTTTAGAGAAAATAAAAAGAAGCAAAAAAATTTAGAAATAATTAAAAAATGAAAAGCAAGTAAAAAACATTTTTAAGACTGTGAAAATTATCTAAATTATATTGCGTTTACTCTCATTTTAATTAAAGTGATATCATCATTGTAGAACAATCGCTTTTAAAACGATAAAACAAAAATAAAAGCTTTAGAACCTTTATTTATTTCTGAATGTTGTGTTAGCAGTTTTATTTTCTAATAACAGATCTACATGAGCGCTGAAGCATGTGCACCTAATGATATACACATTTCAATAAATTTGCTTTGCCATTTTAATTCCGCAGATCGAAAAAGATTACAAAA